TCCCAAACCCCAAATCCCGATGTCCCAATCCCCAAATCCCAGACCCCAAATCCTGATGTCCCAAACTCCAAATCCCGATGTCCCAGACCCCAAATCCTGATGTCCCAAATCCCAAATCCCGATGTCCCAAACCCCAAATCCCAAACCCCAAATCCCGATGTCCCAAATCCCAAATTCCAAACACCAAATCCCGATGTCCCAAATCCCAAATCCTGATGTCCCAGACCCCAAATCCCGATGTCCCAGACCCCAAATCCCGATGTCCCAAACCCCAAATCCCAGACCCCACATCCTGATGTCCCAGACCCCAAATCCCGATGTCCCAATCCCTAAATCCCAAACCCCAAATCCCGATGTCCCAAACCCCAAATCCCGATGTCCCAAACTCCAAATCCCAAACCCCAAATCCCGATGTCCCAAACCCCAAATCCCGATGTCCCCAATCCCAGACGTGGACGAGTGCCAGCGCGGGGCCGTGTGCGCCGGCGGGCGCTGCCTCAACACCGACGGCTCCTTCCAGTGCCAGTGCCCGGCCGGGTTCCGCACCGACGACACCAAGGCCGAGTGCCGCGGTGAGGGAGCGGCGTGGGGCCGGGATGTGGGGTGGGGATCCGGGATGAGACCCCATAACTGCTGTGGCCACCACCCCCTGGTGTCCCCATGTCCCCCTGATGTCCCCGATGTCCCCCCAGACGTGGACGAGGTCTCAGGGTCACCATGCCATGGGATGACCACGACTTGTGGTCACTCTGTTATGGGGCCACCATGGCTTGGGGGACTTGGAGACCCCATAACTGCTGTGGCCTTGTCCCCCTGATGTCCCCATGTCCCCCTGGTGTCCCCATGTCCCCCTGGTGTCCCCACATTCCCCTGGTGTCCCCATGCCCCCCTGATGTCCCCATGTCCCCCTGATGTCCCCATGTCCCCTGATGTCTCCCTGATGTCCCCCCAGACGTGGACGAGTGCTCGGGGGGCTCCCCCTGCGCCCCCCACGGCCGCTGCCTCAACACCGCCGGCTCCTTCCTCTGCGAGTGCCAGCGCGGCTACCGCGCCGCCGCCGGCGCCACCGCCTGCCAGGGTGAGCTGGGGACCCCCGCGGGGACACCCCGGCGGTGCCACCGCCCCCCGGGTGACGTCCTGGTGGCCCCGCAGACGTCAACGAGTGCCTGGAGGGTGACTTCTGCTTCCCGCACGGCGAGTGCGTCAACACGGCCGGCTCCTTCCGCTGCCTCTGCGCCGACGGCTACGCCGGCACCGCCGACGGCACCGCCTGCACCGGTGGGTGGCACGCCTGGGGACGCCCGGGGACAGCCTGGTGGCACCTCGGGGGACGCCCCCGGGGGTGGTGGCGGTGGTGGGGGGTGTGGGGTGGTGGGGTTTTGGTGTCATCGCGCGGCGACTGCCTCGGTGAGGGGGTTGGGAGTGGGATTGGGATTGGGATTGGGATTTGGGATTTGGGATTTGGGATTGGGATTTGGGATTAGGATTTTGGATTGGGTTTGGGGATTTGGGATTTGGGATTGTTCCCGAGTGCCAGCCGGGATTCCGGCCCGGAGACGGCGGAGACTGCCTCGGTGAGGGGGTTGGAAGTGGGATTGGGATTGGGGAATGGGGATTGGGAATTGGGATTGGGATTGTTCCCGAGTGCCCGCCGGGATTCCGGCCCGGAGACGGCGGCGACTGCCTCGGTTAGGGGATTGGGATTGGGATTGGGATTTGGGATTGGGAATGGGATTGGGATTGGGGATTAGGATTTTGGATTGGGTTTGGGGGTTTGGGATTTGGGATTGTTCCCGAGTGCCCGCCGGGATTCCGGCCCGGAGACGGCGGCGACTGCCTCGGTTAGGGGATTGGGATTGGGATTGGGATTTGGGATTGGGAATGGGATTGGGATTGGGGATTAGGATTTTGGATTGGGTTTGGGGGTTTGGGATTTGGGATTGTTCCCGAGGGCCAGCCGGGATTCCGGCCCGGAGACGGTGGTGACTGCCTCGGTTAGGGGATTGGGATTGGGATTGGGGATTGGGTTTGGGATTTGGGATTTGGGGAATTGGGATTGTTCCCGAGTGCCAGCCGGGATTCCGGCCCGGAGACGGCGGCGACTGCCTCGGTGAGGGGGTTGGGAGTGGGATTGGGGATTTGGGGAATTGGGATTGGGAATTGGATTTGGGATTGGGAGTGGGATTGGGGATTTGGGGAATTGGGATTGGGAATTGGGATTTGGGATTGGGATTGGGATTGTTCCCGAGTGCCAGCCGGGATTCTGGCCCGGAGACGGCGGGGACTGCCTCAGTGAGGGGATTGGGAGTGGGATTGGGATTTGGGATTGGGATATGGGATGTGGGATTGGGATTTGGGATTTGGCATTTAGGATTGATCCTGCGTGCCAGCTGGGATTCCGGCCTGGCTACGGTTAGGACGGCCTTGGTGAGGGACCAGGACAGCAGGATTTGGGAATTTGCTATTTGGGATTGGGATGGGGATAGGGGCTATGGGATTGGGGAATGGGATATGGGGACTGGGAGCGGGGTGGGGACATTGGGATTGGGATGGGAATGGGGATATGGGGACATGGGGATATGGGGACTGGGATTGGCATTGGGATACCGGGATGGGAATGGGGACTGGCCCGGGAATGGTGACAAGGGAATTGGGACGGGCACAGGGATGGGGACGGGCCGGGAGCTGCTCCCGGGGCTCTGGATGGCCCCATTCCAATGTCCCCATCCTGCCACGTCCCCAATTGTCCCAATGTCCCCATTCCAATGTCCCTGATCCCGATGTTCCCATCCCGATGTCCCCATTCCGATGTCCGTGATCCCAATGTCCCCATCCCAATGTCCCCATCCCGTGTGCCCATCCCCATGTCCCTGATCCAATGTCCCCATCCCAATGTCCCCATCCCGATGTCCCCATCCCCATGTCCCTATTCCCATGTCCCCATTCCTGTGTCCCCATCCCCATGTCCCCATTCCCGTGTCCCCATCCCGTGTCCCCATCCCCGTGTCCCCATCCCCGTGTCCCCATTCCCATGTCCCCATCCACATGTCCCCATCCCGTGTTCCCATTCCCGTGTCCCCATCCCAATGTCCCCATTCCCGTGTCCCCATTCCCGTGTCCCCAGACGTGGACGAGTGCCAGGAGTACGGGGCCGGGCTCTGCGGGGCGCAGCGCTGCGAGAACATTCCGGGCTCCTATCGCTGCGTGCCCGAGTGCCAGCCGGGATTCCGGCCCGGAGACGGCGGCGACTGCCTCGGTGAGGGGGTTGGGGGTGGGAATTGGGATTGGGGAATGGGATTTGGGATTTGGGATTGGGAATTGGGAATTGGGATATGGGATTGTTCCCGAGTGCCAGCCGGGATTCCGGCCCGGAGACGGCGGAGACTGCCTCGGTGAGGGGGTTGGGAGTGGGATTGGGATTGGGGATTGGGGATTGGGAATTGGGATTTGGGATTGGGATTGGGATTGTTCCCGAGTGCCAGCCGGGATTCCGGCCTGGAGACGGCAGAGACTGCCTCGGTGAGGGGATTGGGAGTGGGATTGGGATTTGGGAATTGGGATTTGGGATTGGGATTGGGATTTGGGATTTGGGATTGATCCTGAGTGCCAGCCGGGATTCCGGCCCGGAGACGGCGGCGACTGCCTCGGTGAGGGAATTGGGAGTGGGATTGGGATTGCAATTGGGATATGGGATTGGGATTGGGGGTTTGGGATTGGGATTGGGATTTGGGATTGGGAATATGGGATTTGGGGACTGGGGTTTGGGGTTTGGGATTTGGGATAGTGCCCGAGTGCCAGCCGGGATTCCGGCCCAGCGACAGCGGGGACTGCCTCGGTGAGGGGATTGGGAGTGGGATTGGGATTGGGAATTGGGATTTGGGATTGGGATTTGGGATTTGGGATTTGGGATTTGGGAATTGGGATCATGCCCGAGTGCCAGCCGGGATTCCGGCCCAGCGACAGCGGGGACTGCCTCGGTGAGGGATGGGGACAGCGGGATTTGGGAGTTTGGGATTTGGGGATGGGGCCGTAGGGATGTGGGATCAGGATGGGGACACAGGGGGACAGAGGCCAGCCCCGGGGGTGGCCAAGGACCTGGGGATGTCCCCAACCCCTGGTGCCACCCCGTGCCAGACGTGGACGAGTGCTCCAACGGGACCCTGTGCGGCGCCCACGCCACCTGCCACAACCTGCCCGGCTCCTTCCAGTGCGCCTGCGACCCCGGCTACGAGACCGCCCGGCACGGCCACCACTGCGTGGGTACGGCCACCAGCCCGGGGACACCCAAATCCCTGTCCCTGTGCCCCAAATCCCTGTCCCTGTGTCCCTGTGTCCATCCCTGTGTCCCTGTGTCCATCCCATCCCAATCCCTGCGACCCCGGCTACGAGACCGCCCGGCACGGCCACCACTGCGTGGGTACGGCCACCAGCCCCGGGGACACGGCCACCAGCCCTGGGGACAGCCCCACCCGCCCTGGGGACACCCAAATCCCTGTCCCTGTGCCCCAAATCCCTGTCCCTGTGCCCCAAATCCCTGTCCCTGTGTCCCTGTGTCCATCCCTGTGTCCCTGTGTCCATCCCATCCTGTTCCCTGTGACCCCGGCTACGAGACCGCCCGGCAC